CATTCTTTTTTTCCTATGATTTATTGGAGAAGCAGGAGCGTGTGGAAGCTGAGGTCTCGTAATAGTGGGACAGAGAGGAGCCTCGAGTCCTTCTGGTGAATGTCCAGCATTAAAAATTACAAAAATCTTTTCATTTCTGCAGCAAATCTGATGGTGAACAACACAGACATGAAGGATTTCCTTAGCATATGCACATATTTCATATGATTTACTTCATATAAAGACTCATTTGTTGCGCTCAAGTCACTTGAATTCATTTGATATTACTTAGCTGGTTAAATGTGCATAAATCCTGGTTGCAGAATGCCCAGATAGAGTTTAATCTGGTCTGTTAGTCCATCCTTAAATTGGGGCACATGCTGTTTGTGGCCCCTGGCACAGATAAACCCACAGACTCCCAAAAAATGCTGCTTTTCCTGGGAGGATATGAGCTTCAGATGTATGTATTTTTTCAGGAATTTCAGCAAAAAACAACAGCTTTTCTCTTTCTCTTGTAACCATTTATGGACCTGCCAAACGTTTACTTTAACCTATTTTATTCACATAAAATGTGCTATTGAAGACAGATATTCCACCAGGGAAACAGAACATATGACATATGTCACCGTATATCCCATCCTCATACAAAATATCCCATGAACATTCTGAAAAGTCTCAATTTAAGGTCTTTCTTCCTTTTTTTAATCTAACAGTTGGTCAGCGATTCATCTGATTTGGATCATGTTATCCGGCTCCGTCATGTTCACAGTAACTGGGGCAGCACTTGGGGTTACGTAACTGCCGTGTTGCTGGGTTGATTCCATCGCCCCTATTTATTTTTATCGTTTGATGCCCGCCTGCTGATGAAACTCTTTTCGTCATGCTACGATGTGCACGGCGAAACCCGACGGCCCCTCCATGGAGTTTTTTTTTTTTTTGTAAAGCTGATGGTATATGCTGCCAGCCTGCTTTAAGTAGGTCAACACAGTCAGGGGGGTAGAGGGGCATTCCACAGAGAAAAGAGTGTTGCATGAATCATAAATGATGCAAAGGTACTAAAATGAAAAAAAAAAAATAAGTGTTTTATTGAGATTTGATTTTCCAAATTGAGCGGATATAGAAAAAAAAAGACCACCGCTGAAGTTAAAAGCTATATTTAGAGAGGATCTTACTCTAAATAAAAAAAGTTCAAAAATTCTCAGGTTTCTAAAGTAGTTTGGTTTGTTAACATATAAATCCAAAAAGCTAAATCAGTGAGGTAATGTAATAAGGTTTATACATTTTCATTTACTGACAGCATTCTTTATTGCATGAGCTAATAACTTAATATCTATAGTCTCCCTCAAAATCAAAATGTTTGCCAGATAGAAAAAAATTTAAACAAAAAAAATTGAATACGGGTATAAACATGTTCAACAACTCTTAGAAACAAAACACCATGGCGTATATTTTAATTGAACTGAATTACTGGACCATAATGAATTTATGTAAAAGCAACCCAACAGTCGCAGCAGTCACCTGATTTTATCTTTATCTTTTGTTGCGCTATGCATTCTCTTCATCTGCGCTGATGAACACTTCATCACCCTTTCTAAACCTTTAACCAATTATTGTAGAATGATAATTCTTTCTTTTTTTTATACTTTTCGCATTCTGCCAATGCAAATGTAACAGTTTTTGAAATAATCGGACATTTACGGGCTGGTTATACTCCCGCAGCGGGTTGTCGCAGTGAGCTTGTCGCAAGTATGACGCAGGCTATGTTATTCTACGGCACAATGCAAGAGAGACAATCGCGAACAAGCTGTGGGTCTAGATACGGCCAAGGCAGTGAGGAAGTGGGGACAAATTTGTGCGACAACGGAGGGACATGAGGGCCAAAAAGAGAGGGGATCCAGATGGAAAAAGGGTCCCAGCGTTCTCACACACCTCGCTCTTCTAGCTGGTCCAAATTCACGAGTTATTTTCCGCAATTGCGATCATACAAACAAAACAAGCCGGTAAGGTACTAAACAGGAAATACGTATAGTGTAGAGTGGATATAGATTTGACCAATCAGAGGCCTCATGTCTGCGGCACTGTCTGCGATCACCTATAATTTCGGAGAGGTGTAGCAGAGTGTCTGCGGAAGGGGCGGGGCATATCTGCGTTAACTGCGACACACATGCAGACGACCTGTTTTCTTCCTTTATCCCCTGCTGGATTGTTAGCATACTTTCCAACTCTCCCAACTTACGAAGGATACTCGCGATTTTTAATGTTATATCCCGCCGAGCTCCCAATCAGAAATATCTCCATCTGATCACCATTTTTTTTTCAGTGAAGGAACAAAAGTAAGCTTAGGGATATATGTTTGGGCGTAACGTACGTGGGGTATGCGTTGTCCCATGCACTTTACCTATATGTTCTCGATGTCTCCCGCACTGTTTTCAACCGTTTAAACAGTTAGACCCCTCTGACCTATCTTTGAACGCACCAAGCTAACGCAGAAGTTTAATATGAGACGTGATGCTGAGCAGAGTTGTAGGTGTTAGCTTGACGAAAGCTAGCTGTCTGTTAGCTTGATGTCAGCTAGCTGCCCATAGAATGAGTTAACATAAACGAGGCCAAGTCCATCAATCCATCACTGGATTAGTAGGTCTCAGAACGACTCAGAAAGTTAAGGACCACAGAATATCCCTGTTACTCTACATAAATTGGACGCATTCTCTGCGGTATAAGTAGAGTATCAGACTGGTTGTATGGTTGCATCGTGTGATCCACAGTCTGTCCTTCACCGCTGGCATTAGGTATTGCTTGGCCTGGGTAAATTACATTATCTAGAGTAAGTTACAGGATTTTTTAGCTCAGGATCGACAAGAGAGTTACACAAGAGAGTTAGTTTTAGAAACCAATATTTCTCTTTTTCTACCTATTTCTTCAAGTTTTGGTTACTTATTACTATCCCTGTAAATATGGAAATATTTTATTTTATTTTTTTCCGTTATTGGTTTAAGCTAATAGCATGTTTTGTAAACGGGAATTTAAAAACATCTGTCCGGAAATAAAACTCAAAAATATATATTTTTTTAAGATTTAATACAGATAACAGATATTTTATATTTTCAACATTTACTGTTAATTTTAAAAATGATAATTTTTCTTTTCAAATTACATTTATAAAATTCTATTCTATGGAGTTCAAACGTGATAAAAACACTTGTTCTTGATTAATAAAAACTATTATGTAAACCGCAGAGATGGGAAGTAACGAAGTATTTGTACTTCGTTACTTCCCATCTCTGCGGTTACTCAAGTACTCAAGTAGATTTTTCTGATATTTTTACTTTACTTTAATACTTATTTTTATGGCGACTTTTTACTTCTACTCCTTACATTTTTACACAAATATCTGTAACTTTAGTTTTGAATCATTTCAATGTAGTTACCGTTATTATTTTTCACGTCATCAATACCAAATTCAATCTAATTGGATGGGAATCTACGTTGCATTTGACGCACCACTACAAGATGAATCGACAGATTCGGCGGTATTCATTGGCGGCAAATCATTGCAGCTTGGTGGCGGTGGCGTTAGCATAGTAGTATGGACGACGAAATGATTGAAAATGAACACAACGGAGATCTAGTCCTATTGGCAGACATCCATTTAAAATGTAGGCAACGGCATGAAAAAAGTGGTTTCTACTTTTACTTTTATACTTTAAGTAAATTTACAAGCCTGTACTTTGTTACTTTTACTTGAGTAAAGAAGTTTAATCAGTACTTCCACTTTTACCAGAGTATTTTTTAACACAAGTATCTGTACTTTTACTCAAGTACGGAAAGTGAGTACTTTTGCCATCTCTGGCAAACCGATAGAAAGGCATCTTCCCCAATTAGCCCAGAGCAAAGCCTGCCCTTAAAATGTGAAGTGGGTGTAATCGATTTTAAAATCTCAATCTTGGAAATATAAGATTTGAAAATATATTTAAAGAAAAGGATAAAAAAAATTGAGAAATCAGCAAACTTAGTCTTTTTATGTGTGCTCTTTGCTTGTAACAATTATGGAACAAATTTCATTCCATACAAAAAGTCTTGGGGAAATAAAACAGCAACTCTACTATTGGAAAAAGACGATGATGCACAAGTGGAACCACTGGAGAATAGTGTTTAGGGGATCCAAAAAAGAGCCATAGATTTAGCAGTCCTAGCAGACTAGTTATGATTGATTCAGATGAATCAATTCATTAGGCCAATGTTCAAAGTTTTAGCTCATGGTTTGACTTTCAGGTTGCTTATCAGAGTTGGCCTGAAGCAGTTATAGCAGGTCAAGTCAATAAAGTTAGCCGACTTCCGTCGGCTTCATTAAAGCCGGCCAGGAACTAAAAAAAAAAAAAAAAAAAACAAAAAACCTTTTGGAAATTGAGCTTTTCAACATGTTTAAGGTGTTTTTCCTCTCAAATCAAAAGTAACTATTTGGAGTCCCTTGATTTATGGTTTCCTGTACGCTGACTGGATATGTGCTCCAAACAGGATAGGGTCAAGCTCCTACAGACACAACACAGGAGACAGTGAAAGGCTGCACTTGACATTCCAGCCATGAGCCAAAACAAGGTTTCACCCCCTGTTATTCACAGGAGCAGCCCAGCATTAAGATAAGCCTGTCAATCACTAGTGTACTTAACCAGAACAGGTACTGGGAGGCTGTCCGTTCTGCCCAGTGCTTGACAATGTCTGGGCTTTAATCTAAGGCGTGCACTGTTTGAAACTTGGCCTATCTGGGAGATTTATGCTTATTTTAGGAGGGGTTTTTGAACTTAACACCCAACAAAAGTGGATCTCTCCTGGGAAAGAGTTGCTTGAACGCAGGAAATGAAACTTGACACTATGAGAACTTCCTAATCTGCTCCTTGGTACGTTGCAGTCCAAAGAAAACCAAAGCCAGGACACAGAGAGAGAAGAGAAAAAGCAATGAATCATAGCTTTGATTCTGGTCGCTAAGAGTCAAGAAAGATTGTCTAAAAGTGGGACTGACTTACCGGTAGGCCACTTTCCAGACACAACTTCTTCAGCTGCTCTCTCCTGCCCAGGTGTCTGTTCATGGCCCCTCTGCCCAGCAGTGATCCGCACACCTGGGAAGCCCTGGAGGGGGGGACAAAGGTGAGGCATGCTTAAAAGTCAACAAGGAACGCCCCCAAACGTCTGGCAAGTCACGTTTCCGCTTTACCACCAGATCAGAGTCCATTTAAAGAGGTGTTACCTGCGGCTGCTTTCAGTTTCTACCTCCGCTTCCGTAACGCTCATTATCTCAAAGGAGAAGCGGACACACTTCTCGATTCCGACAGGGCCAATGCTGCAATCCAACTCTGTCCCAGGCTTCCCGCCCTTCCACCCAAAACCCCCCCTAGAGCTTCAGCCCCTTTGTTTTTCTAGGCCTTTTTACAAACAGAGCTGGGAACCAGTCGGACCTGGCCTGAATGAGCCTACAGCAGAAAAAAAAACACTTCACTTCATGCATACTACTCTTTTACAAAGACTCACTGGGGACGGAGTAAGCACACCGCTTCCTCATTCAGTAAGGGACAGGGTGAAAAGGTTAGCTTTTAGAAACATCTTCCACTTGAAATAAAGAGCAAGCAAACTAGACCTGAATGTAAATATTCTGCTGGTGGTTTTCTGACCAAAGGGCCATGACAGCATCCCCTTCACATATGCTCTCTGCAAAAAACCGTCCATGTAACCAGGTTTTACAATCTTAATCTTGTTTTGATATTGAAATACGAAGCATGGGCAGTTTTTTTTTTAAGATTATATATCTTCTTTTGAGAAAATACAACTAAAAAAAAGTGAAATAATCTGTCATGGCAGGATGACAACTGCACTTCTGAAGACTCCTTGAAATAGTCATATATGTTCTCAAAAAAGAGGTTGTACAAACTGCAATTATTCTCCTGCACTGGCAGATTATTGCATTTAATAATTAGTATATCCATCTCAAAACAAGATCCGAAACATATTTTGACTAGATATATAGATCGTACGACTTGGTAAGATGGACAATTTCTGCAGAGAAGTTAGATCGACAGCTATGACCTTGCGCCATAACGTCAGACTGGTCCCTTTAAAGTCTCTCGGAAATCTAAGAAACATTTCTTGAAACTGAGTTGAAAAAAAAAAACAAAACAGCAAATTAACCTGTAGCTGTGACAGAGGTTACAAAGCAATTGACCTCAACAGACGCATTGATTGGAGCTTTCATCATGGCATCTGAAGAACAACGCAAAAACTGTTGATCTAACAAAGTCTTGCAATCTTGGAACAAGCCAAAAAGTGATATACTACCATAGAGCGGATTCGGTTAATATTGAGAAAATTCTACCCAAATTAAGTGCAATTATCTGCCAGAGCAGTGAGGCAATTGTAGTTGGTAAGATTCTCAAAAGAACAAGTCTCACAGAGTGCTATTGTCTTGGTTAGACTATTACGAAGTGAAAACAAGTTCAAAAAGACTTTTTCTGGCTAGATCTAATATTGTAAGATGCCTTCTGCAGTGAGGGTCTTCAGCTTATCATGGTTTTCTTGTCCTAATACATTTTTATAGATCAGAGGTCTTTGCTTTTTCCATAACTTTATTGTATTCTTCAAATTGGCCATTTGCCATTAAACCCACTTCTCCACCGTGCACATCCCAAATCGTACTCTTAGTCTCTGCTGTAGGCTGGATCCGTTTCAGCCCGTCTGAGGCTTCATCAGCATGACTGCACTTGTCAAACATGAGCACACATCAACACGACACGTTCCATCCAGCGCCGATCTGCCAGGTCCGAGGCTTATCGACACATGAAGCTGCAGAACGTCAATCTGCCGAGGCTCGGCTGCTGATGGCTGTACTTCCAAACCCCAACATTTGCGCCCCATTGCGCTGGAGTCGCCTAATCAGTGAACAGGATGTGGGTCGGCAGTGATGTCTTTAATGACACAGAAACATCAGATATCTGCTTTGTCTCGCTGGCTGTGGTTCTCGAGTGATTAATTGAGCGGCTGAAGAAATGCTGGTTCATGCTCGGATTGGGATTCGGTTTCCAGATGGAGATTAAAGGAGAAAAAAGGCCTCTATGTGGAGTCAATTTTGTGTCATTATTGTTGCAAGTAAACAGCAATTTATAATTGATGAAAATAAAATTCAATCCAGATATTAAACTTTAAAGACATTATTTCTTTAGGGGTAATTTTGCATTTCACAGATTACATTTTTTCCACTTGAATCACAATAAATATGCACACTCTTGATGCCTATTGTACCTTGACCAATAAAAATGTTGTTGTCCGTTATTGTTGATATCTGTGCAGACCAATACAAATGCATCTTTGCTCCTCATTCCAGAGGACAGCCCGCCCTCAGAAGTGAAGTGAATGTAATCTAGAAACTCAATTTGAAAAGAGCACAATTTGTCAAACTTAATCTGAAAAACAGAAATTTGAAAAATGTTATATATATGTACATATATATATTAGAAATAATATAAAAAACAAACTTATTTTTAAAAAAAGTGAACAAAATTTTAGTTTCTCTCAAAACCCTTTTTATATTAAAATGTTTTTTTTTTACTAAGTTTAATTTCTGAATTGCTTTTACATTACTGTTGCATGCAACAATAATGGAACAAAAGTCACTCCATAACCCTACAGACACTGGGATTTAAAAAAATTAGGTAAAGAGGATTACAGAATACTAAAAACCTGGCAAAGACTGTCTTTAAGAAAATGTATAAAGATTAACCAAACACCTAAAAGGCCAGATATCAAGGGCATCCAGATAAAGGCATGTTATAAAGTACACACCTACAACTGACATTTAAAAAGACTTAGTCAGGATCTGTTTTCCTACTGCCAAATGGATTAAGAACAACTACACGAACATGATTTTTTATTTTTTTTGCTCATGTCACAAACACCAGCTTTATATAGACCATAATTTGATAATTTAAAAAATTTTGTTTTTTTTCAGACTGAGGGCTTCAGTAGCTTTTTTTTGTTGTTGTTGTTGTTTTTTGGTATATTTTTACAAAAAAAAAAGTAAACCGAACTGAGTTACTTTTTAGAAGAAGTAACTAGTAATTTTAACTTTAGAGCAATAAAGTGCATCTTGCAAACTAGCTTCATATAATGGGCATGCTCCAGACCACTAGGGGGGGGGGGCAATCATCAATTCATATGGGACTAAGGAAGTAATTACCAGGGATTTAATTAAATAAGTGACTTACAGTAATTGTTGATAGTTTAATAAAAATTGTTCCATCTGAATAATTAATAAAAGATGATGAAAGGAATTTCTTTTAAATACATATTTGCAAAAGGGAAGTAATACCAGAGGGGACG